CCTTTGCTGTAGCATGGCCGAGCCCAGTATAGTCCGCGGGTACAGAGAGCAGCTGTCTCCTGTACCTGGCCGGACTAACAGGAAGTGCACACTGAGTGTTCCCTTCCTGTTAGTCCGGCCGGGTACAGGAGACAGCTGCTCTCTGTACCCGCGGACTATCAATGCTGCAGGGCTCGGCCACGCTACAGCAAAGGAAGCTGACAGGAGGGAGCGCTCAGTGCTTCCCTCCTGTCAGCCCCTCTCCCCATGCTGCGCCCGGGCGGTGCGGTCCGCCCTCATGGACGCACCGCCCGGGCAAAGCTGCAGCCGCCTGAGGCTCTATACAGAGCGCTCGGGCGGCTGCAGCATGGGGGGGGGGACGGGGCTGGTCATGGCACCCCCCACCCGGCTGGCACCCGGGGCGGACCGCCCCCCCCGCCTCCCCCTTAGTACGCCACTGGGCAGGAGTATGGGAGCCTGATACAGAAGTGGTCACAGTTAATCCGAAAGTGACACATTCTTTGAGGGAAGAAGTTAGAGTAAAAGAGACATGCATGAAAGAAGCGTTAGGCTGTGAACGCTCACCTTTGGGTTTTCATTTAAGTAAATTAATAAAAGAAGGCTATGGTATAATAATAATATTTTATCATTGCCCACAGCTAGAGAATGTACTAAACCGGATAGGGAAAAAGGGGATGATAAAAAAAATGTATTCCTAGGTCATTCAAGAATTGGCTGCAAGCTTTTTGCATTTATTCTAGAATGTTAGGTGAAAAATATCCAGAATTGTACTGTGGGCTATTTCAACATGCAGAAGCTATTTTGGAAGCATATAAAAATTTTGGGGGGTTTGTCATGGTTTTACTATAAGTAACAATTTGGACAGAAACTTGCGGTTCATAGCAACCTTAAATGGGTTATGAAGGATGTCGGACTTTGGGTGAGCATGATGTTACCTCAGAGACAGCCTAATTTTGTCAATAAGCAGGTTACAAATGCTGCACAGAAAAAAGTTTTTTGCTGGGCTTATAACGAATCCCAATGTAAGTGGCAGAATAATTGTAGTTTCCGGCACGAATGCGCTAACTGTTCAGGTGCACATCCTAATTTTCGCTGCTATAAAAGAGGTCAGCAAAGTGGTACATTTTCAAAAAGCTCAGACCCCAGTGAAACTGGTACAGTTACTACCTTTTTTCCCAATCTATCAAAAACCGGGAGAAAGACAAATTAATTAAAGAAGGTTTTTAAAATGGTTTCAGGTTACCTGTATATAGTTCTGTTGAATTTTGTTGGGTTGAAAATTTAAAATCGGTTTTAGAGTTACCATGTTTAGCCTTGGCAAAGATTTGTAGAGAGTTAGAAAGGGAGAGTTGAGGGCCCTTTCAATGTTCCCCCGTTTAAATGTTTTTGGTTATCCCCTCTGAGTTTGGTACCGAAGAAAGAACCCGGGTCATATAGGCTAATACATCACCTATCATACCCTAAGGGAGGATCTTTAAATGACATAATTTCTAGAGAAGAAAGTTCAGAGTCTTACTCAACTTTTGATAAGGCTTTAAATTTAGTAAGAAAATGTGGAAGGAGTGCATTGATGGCAAAAGGGGATATAGAATCTGCCTTTCAACTTCTACCGATTCATCCAGAATCCTTCAATTCGCTAGGTTTTCAATTAAAGGGTCAGTATTTTTTTCAATAAGTGCTTGCCTATGGGTTGTGCACTATCATGTTCTTATTTTGAGACCTTTGAGACTTTTATGGAATGGATTATTCGGTATGAATCAGGTCAGAAGCAAGTCATATATAACTTGGATGATTTTTTATTTGTGGGCCCTAAGGATAGTGACAATTGTAAGAACTTGCTAGAAATATTCAGAAGGGTGGCTGGTCAGTTAGGAATTCCATTAGCAGAGGATAAAACTGTTTTACCCACGTTTTTGTTTGCAATTTCTGGGAACAATTATTGATTCAACAAAAATAGAATTTAGGTTGCCAGAAGATGAGATACTGAAAATGAAGACGCTGATCCAGCAGGTAATGGGCTATGAAAAGGTGACACTAAAAGTTTTACAATCACTATAAGGTCTGTTAACATTCGCTTCAAGGGTTATTCCAATGGGGAGAGCTTTCTCCAGGAAGTTGGGGATAGCAATGACTAAGGTTAAGTCCCCATTTGCACACATTAGGGTAACAAAAGAATTGAAGCAAGACCTAAAAGTAGGGAAACATTTTCTAACAGATTTTAATGGAAGATCAATTTAGCAGCAAGAGTTCATAGATTATGATAGTCTGGAGCTGTTTACAGACGCATCAGGTGCTATCGGTTTTGGCATATATTGGGATGGACAAGAATGGCCGGATCTTTGGACATGGGAAGGCTTAACCAAAAATTTGACGTTGGAATTATTTCCAATTGTAGCCGCAATATATTTATGGGGAGACACATGGAAAAATAGGCGGCTGATTGTCACATGCGACAATCTAAGTGTGGTGATGGTAATTAATTCCTTACAGTCTAGGTGTAATAGGGTTATCAATTTACTTAGACACTTAGTGTTAAGGTGTTTTCAGTTGAACATATGGGTGAAAACTGGGCATATTCCAGGCAAAATCAATAGGCTGGCTGATGCTCTCTCACGATTGCAATTGCAGGAATTTCGAAAATTGGCACCAAGAGCAGCTGCGGAAGGAACCCAGTTCCTATCAGACCTCTGGGATTTGATTGGGGACAGTTAAGTGTTATGCTGATGAACTCGGTAGCTGCCTCTAGGTGGAGTGCATATGTCAGGGCATGGAATGAGTGGTTTAAATTTAATCGGTTAAACAATAAAGATCCGTTTGGAGAGGACAAGGAGAGCGCAATACAATTTACATTGGTGTCAATGCAGAAAGGTTTCTCTAAGTCCAAGTTAGCGTGTAGTTTAGCTGGGGTGGATTTCTTTAGGAAGCTGTGTGATTGTAAACCAATCAAACAGTATTTCATAGTGAATCAGTTAGTCCGAGGTTATAGAAGAGCCAGTAGATTTAGGGATAATAGAAAACCGATATCGTTTAAAGTATTCTCACAGTTATTTGTAAATTTTGTTTGTCGGGTTTACAATGGGAAGATATTATAGCTAGTGATAGAAAAATGATGGTATTTATTAGCAAATCAAAAACAGAACAGGAAGGCAAAGGAAGATGGTTAACATTGCTGGAGATTCAAGGTTCTTTTTTGTGTCCGGTTAAGGTGACCGAAGATTACTTGTCAATAAGACAAAGGGTTGAAGGTCCATTTTTTCATGCATAGTGACACCATTCCTTTGACTAAGTTTCAATTTACAAAGGTCTTTAGGATATGCACAGATAAGTTAAAGGTAGGCAATGAGCGTTATTCATCTCATT